TATTTCAGGTGCTATTAGGTGACAGTTGCTGCATGTAAACGCCAGATTAGGAATTCCTGCTGCAGGAAACCGCAAGTTTGTGACACATGAACCCCTAATCTGGCGTTTACATGCAGCAACGGTCACCCTTTCAAGTTAATGATGTTAATCAGGTGACAGTCGCTGCATGTACATGCCTGCATACCGCATGTAATCGTATGTGATATGATTACATGCAGTTACAAAAACAATCACTCTCCCTGGATACACAATCGTGTATCCAGGAAGAGTGATTGATTCCTAACTGCATGTAATCCTTTTACATATGATTTCATGCGGTGTGCAGGCATTTACATACATCGGCTTTCACCCGATCATTATTTTGAATCGGTGACAGTTGCCGCTTGTAACATGTGCATACACTAAAACTGTTACCGTATATAGTAGCGGCCCCCACGGGACTAAAAAATTTGTCCAGTGGCCCCCGACTAAATTGAGTTTGAAACCGTAGGCCTACAGCATGTTCAGATGGCTGGAGGTTCCCCCGCATTTCCCACATGAGTTCCTTTTAGTGAACATGAGAGGGACCAAAAGTGTTAAAATGTTCAGCCCATATTTGAGTAAGCGATTGCTCATGACCTTCGAGCGACAAAGCCTCTGATGCTGCCTGCATTTCCTTCTTTCTCAAGGAGGCTACTGGGAGGTGGACATACTGTATTTTAGTTGGACAGTGCACATGCCAATTGCTTGGGTGCGGGGAAATCGGTTCTAGGGGATACAGGATAGTTGCCCAGCCCCATCCCTGGCCCATCACTTCCAACCTTCCTATCTCATTGCACAGTTTATCAGATCTCCACACAGCCCTAGTGGGTTTTCTGGAGCAAGGTGTTTTTGCCCCAGTACTGTGGTAACCCTCCATCAAGGAGTCTCTTTGGTCCTGGGAGATATCAAGGAAATGGCTCCATATTTTTTTTGAAGCACCAGCAATTCCTACGCTTTATTATTATTATTATTATTTATTATTACTCGGGATTTATATAGTGCCAGCAGTTTGCGCAGCGCTTTACAATGTAAGGAAGACATGACCATTACAAGACCAGATAATGAGGGCTCTGCCCGTGAGTGCTTACAATCTAATAGGGAGGGTCAAGTGATGCATGAGGAGGTAGCTGTGTGGGGATGAGTTGTTTGAGAACGTGATGGTTGAGTGGTTAGGTTGAGGTGGGATAGGCTTCCCGGAATAGATTAGTTTTTAGGGATTGCCTAAAGGCAGTCAGAGTGGGAGATAGACTGACAGGTTGGGGTAAAGAGTTCCAGAGGATCGGAGAGACTAGAAGTCCTAGAGATGAGCATGGGAGCAGTTGAGGCAGCTGGAAAGCAGGAGGTCTATGGAAGAGCAGAGGGGACGGTTAGGGGGATATTTTGAGACAAGGTTTGAGATATATCCACGGGTAGAGTTGTGGATATCCCATCTAGGTGGGAAGACTTAGACTGATAGACTGAAGGCGGGATATCCTGTGTAGTGGAAGGCCAATGAGGAGGGAGTTGCAATAGTCCAGACGAGAGATAACAAGGGAGTGGATGAGTAATTTTGCAGTTTCATTGGTGAGGTAGGGGCGTATTTTGGAGATGTTACAAAGGTGAAGGCGGCAGGATTTGGATAGTGATTGGATGTGGGGAAGAAAGGTGAGGTCTGAGTCAAGGATTCCCTGGCCCATCACTTCCAACCTTCCTATCTCATTGCACAGTTTATCAGATCTCCACACAGCCCTAGTGGGTTTTCTGGAGCAAGGTGTTTTTGCCCCAGTACTGTGGTAACCCTCCATCAAGGAGTCTCTTTGGTCCTGGGAGATATCAAGGAAATGGCTCCATATTTTTTTTGAAGCACCAGCAATTCCTACGCTTTATTATTATTATTATTATTTATTATTACTCGGGATTTATATAGTGCCAGCAGTTTGCGCAGCGCTTTACAATGTAAGGAAGACATGACCATTACAAGACCAGATAATGAGGGCTCTGCCCGTGAGTGCTTACAATCTAATAGGGAGGGTCAAGTGATGCATGAGGAGGTAGCTGTGTGGGGATGAGTTGTTTGAGAACGTGATGGTTGAGTGGTTAGGTTGAGGTGGGATAGGCTTCCCGGAATAGATTAGTTTTTAGGGATTGCCTAAAGGCAGTCAGAGTGGGAGATAGACTGACAGGTTGGGGTAAAGAGTTCCAGAGGATCGGAGAGACTAGAAGTCCTAGAGATGAGCATGGGAGCAGTTGAGGCAGCTGGAAAGCAGGAGGTCTATGGAAGAGCAGAGGGGACGGTTAGGGGGATATTTTGAGACAAGGTTTGAGATATATCCACGGGTAGAGTTGTGGATATCCCATCTAGGTGGGAAGACTTAGACTGATAGACTGAAGGCGGGATATCCTGTGT